GCTGGCGCTGGCAGCCGCGAGGCACCGTGACGCCGCGGCGGAGCCGGCAGCAGCTGCGATCACGGCCGCTGGAATTCTGCAGGACGACAAGGAGAATATGCTGCGGGCGGCGTGCGACAACATCACGCGCAATTTCCTCGGCGTGGAGGGCGGGTGGGAAGCGTTGCTTCGGCAGCCGTCGAGCGCACAGGACGACAACAACAACAATGGCAGCAGGAATAGCTGCGCGTTGTCAGCTGCAATGCGGCGCCGCGTTCGGTGTTGCCTCGCCGAGTACCTGCAGGCACAGCTCACTCCGACAACAGAAGCAGCAGCTGCGGCAGCACCAGCAGGTGGTGGGGAGATCAACTCTCTGTGCTTCAGCAGCGACGGTCCGCCGAGTTGGCAGGCTTCGTTGCGTGCCTCCACAAAGACTGCACCGGCACCGTCTGTGCTTCGGCGCGGCGCCAGCAACAACAACAACAACAGTAAAAAGGGTTTGAGCGTCAGTTTTGTCACGTCAAGCGACGATGACGAGGACAACGGCCGCAGGAGGGGCAGCTACGGATGGGACGGTGGGCGCAGCAGCAGCAGCACTCGTGATCAGCCCCTCGTGGAGGTGCTGATGGAGTGCGTCCGTTGCATCTTTGGGGAAGACGCATTGTAGTCGTCGAGAAGGTCTTACCTGTGTGTGTGTACGTTGAAGAGTGGTCTTTGTGTTCTGTTATCTATCCATGCTGTTGTCGCCTTGCGAGAGTGGAACGGTGTTTGTGTTCCCTACAGCAGCAGCAGCAGGATCAGAAAGGGCAAGAGGGCCGAAAAAGAAATGCTTGTCTCTAAATGGCACAAGCACACGTGTTGGTGCTGTGGCATGGCTCTGCGGGCCCAATGTGTATTCATTTCTCGCTTTCTACTCCCCTTTCTCTCGTGAGTGTCCCTTCTCTGCAGGCCAGTAACGTGGGGCCACATATATCTACTTTTGCAAAGGGCGTCTGTGAAGGTGTGAGCCCATACGCGCGGTGCAGAGGGCTGAGGGACTGCGGCACCTCACCCACGTGCTATCTGTGTTACAGTAGTCACACAATCGTGCTTTTCTACCTCATCCGGTCGTCGTCGCCACGACGCACATGCCGCACTTTTCGCATGCGCCGCACGATTCCTGGAGGCAGCAGCAGCGGCAGCGGGAGCAACTGCGTCGGCGTGAGGAGGAAGAGGAAGAGGATGTCGCCGCTGCATCACTTCCATCTTCCACAGCCACTATCACCACGTCAGAATCCGCCTTCAATGATGTGTCAGATGATGGGCCACTGGAGGGGATTCGGTACATACCAGCCTCAGCTAATAGCAGCAGCGGGGGCAGAAGCCGAAGCAACAGCGGCGATAACGGAGCGCATACCTGTACGACTCAGCGGCCACAGCCATACCCAGAGCAGCCGAACTGGTCTCGTGTGGCGTTGGGGCACTCGAGTTCGTTTGACGCGTACGAGGACGAAGTTGACGAAGAGAAATATGAACAGAGGCAGCAACAGTACTGGAGGCATGACGCATTTCAGCATAAAGTGGGGGGCAGCAAGGGTGATGCCCGCGCCTTTCCGCAGCGGAACGAGTTGCCGCGTTCGAGAAACGACCGTGATGACGGTCCTGTTAAGGCGAGCTGGCGGCGGGGGCACGTGGTCTCGTCGGGCGTGCATTCCAACCGCAGCGGCGGTCGTGATCGCGCGACGGCGGTGTACCACTCCGGCAACGACGGTGCGTCGCACCGTGAATGGTGGGATGAAGATGCTCGTGTGGGTTCCTGCGGCAGCGTTTGGAGCAGCAGCAGCAGCAGACATAACAGCAACGAGCGGTTAGACCTAAATGACAAGAGCACTGTGGGTGGATCATTCCAGGTATTGCAAGAAAAGAACTCTCAGCCCGCTGCGAACCCTTCCACAATGAGCTCTCACCGCTTGCTGGACATACTGCTGCAGCAGGACGAGCAGGCAGAAGCATTGATGTTGCAGCAACAACAGCAAGAGAAGAGCTCCAAGGGGCACAACACCGTCTTGCGGTTTGGCAGTAGCAACAGTGGGAGGAACAACGAGACATTTAGGGGCTGTCGCGAGGCGCAGCAGCTGAGCGTGTCCGCGGAACAGTTATACGAGCCTCACGCGATCGGCGAAACACACGAGGAGAAGCAGCAGGAACGGCCTTGGTTGCCATCTCTCACGGCACCGGCACAAGTAACGACGTTAGCGGGGGCGGAGGTGTCTGCGCTGCCCAACACCGCGGCGCACGACGATGACCGGCTGCCGTACCTCACTGAGATCATACGGGTCTTTTTCGTGCCCGGTGCGATCGACCAAGAGGAGCGGGAGGTGCGCCGGTGGATGCGAAGTGTCAATCACCTCCGCAAACATGGCACGCTCTGGTGGGAGAGGGGCAGGGGAGAACGGCAGCCAGAGCAGCCGGTGCAAGCACAAGAGAAGCCGCCGGCCTCGGCGGCGGGCACAGGTGTTGCCATCGCCGAGGTGCCGCCTTTTTCCGCCTCTGCTGCTTCGTGTGCGCCGCGGCAGACTGGCCAAGCATCCGATTGGCCGCTCGTAGGCTTGCCAGCGATGTTTCTGGAGCCCCACGTCAGCAACGACAACACACATGGTAGGAGTACGAGCGCACAGGACGGGGGCAGCGGAGGCGGCGGCGGCGATGACAAGGATGAGTCGGACGGCCCCAGCAGTGGAGCACGGTTGCACTCTCGCCAGTGGAGTGTCGCCTGGGGCACGCTCTCCACGAATGCGTACGCAATGGAGATGTGCTCGGTGGGAGCGGCCACCCCGTCACAGCCACGCAACGTTGCTCCATACAGCAGAAGCACCCGCGAGAACATGATGGGGGCGACAATGCGCAGCCGTAACGATGGAAGACCGATCCCCGCCGCCAGAAGGATGCCCTCTGTGGAGCACGTCGAAGAACAGGAGCAGCGTCGTCATCATCATCGTCGGCCAAAGCAAGCACAGCAGGCGGCAATCCCCTTCGCGGCACACAGCCGACCTTGCGAGCAGTGTGGAAGTGTAAACGGTGGCGAGCAAGATGTGAGCAGCAAGTGGGGGTCTCGCATAAACTCCCTCAAGAAGTGTCTTGTCCTCGCGGCGGCGTTCATGCCGCTGGCGCTCTTTGTTGGTCTGTCGGTGTTCACCTCCGCTGTCGCCATGTCCGGCCTATTCATCGTGGTGCTTGCGCTGCTCCTCGGCGTAGTGGTTTACCGTCATGTGGTGCTGCTGTACTCCCTCTGCTTCTCTGCGAGTATGTGGCCGTTGTCGTCGTCATCTTCTTCCTCCTCCGCATCTTCCAGTTCCACTTCGGCTTCGGCTCCTACATCCTCAAGTGGGTGCCGCAAGGGTGGCTGGTTGCTGATGTCGCCGAATCTCCTCGAACTCGTCAGCCGCTTTGGCGGGCGGCGGCTGTATCTTGCGACTGTGCTGCTGTACATGGGCGCCCTGCTCGCGGCGGCCGTGCTGTTCCTCTCGCTCGCCTTCACCCTCATCAGCGGTGCGGTGGCTGCGATACGCACGCTGTGGGACCGCCCAATGCTCGACACCGTAGTCTCGACAGACTCGCCGCGCGGCTGCCAACTTGGGCCGCAGCTGCGCTTCATGGCGCTGCTGCCTTTCCTCGCTGTTGCTGTGTGCCTCGCGGGGCCGGCCAATGAACGCACGTGGATCTGCTGGTGGGAAATGGGCGCGTTTCGCCTTCTCTCACTGGTGGTGTTTGTGCTTCTCTTCACCACCACCCTGGTGATGCAAGTGCTTTGGACGCTGCAGCGGTCGCCCAGCGCGTTTGACATCCCGCTCCGCTTCATCGTGATGCCTACGTGGGACCGCAACGTGCTGAGCCTGCAGTGGCTGCAGGACCCACTTTCCTATGCGGATTGGTGGGCAGGGCGAGAGGCGATGGCGTACGTCGTGCTGCGTCTGTCGCTAAGTGTCGCGCAACTCTCATGGTTGTTTAGCTTCGGCGTCAGCGCCATCAAAGCGGGCACGTACCACCAGTTCCTCGTCCCGCTACTGTGGCGACGTGGGCTATCAAACCCCGAAGGGCGGCGGCCGCATGCGGAAGAAGAAGAGGTAGTGGTGGAGGTAGAGCAGGAAGAGGGGCCGGAGGAGAGGGAGAGGCAGCCTTGGCCGTGTCGGTGCGCAGTTAGTTATTCCCATCAGGACGTGTTCAATGCGAGTGGGTTCGGGGTGCCGTTTCGCATCACGTTCGTGCTGTTCCTTGCCATTGCGCTGGTGGCCACCTTCGCGGCCTTTGTGGGGACTCCAATGACCACGCCGTCCCTCGCCGCCCCGTCGCCGCTGCGACTGCTGTGGACCGCCGTTCCGCGCAACGTCACCGGCCTGCGCGGCGACGTCACGCCGGTG